CTCGGCAAATATGGCCGCCATTAAAGTGATAAACCTCAAGCCAACAGCTGCGCAAACACATACGACCCATAGGCATTTTGTCGGGCGCTAAGCAGCTCCTCTCTGTCTATGCGTGGGTGTGTGTTAGAGTACGGTGAATGGATCTCAATATGTACTTATAACTAAGCAGACATAGTCAGGGGTGTATGTGTGTATGTGAGGGACTTGCAAAAGTCTAGCAGCTCCATTTATAAAGCTGCAATCAAAAGTCACCTGGATACCCTATCCCCTTAAATATTAACTCTTATTAGATGTTAATCAATGTTAAATATATATTCCTGGATTAGAATGCGATAGATATACTGGTGAAAGTTTAATTATAAATATACGTACAGGTATAAGTGAAAGTAGAAGTATATATTCTTATACTTATTCATATACTTGTACTTATACTTATACTTAATTATAAATATACGTACAGGTATAAGTGAAAGTATAAGTATACATTCTTATACTTATTCATATACTTACACTTATACTTATACTTATACTTATACTTATACTTATACTTATACTTATACTTATACTTATACTTATACTTATACTTATACTTATACTTATACTTATACTTATACTATACTTATACTTATACTTATACTACTTATACTTATACTTATACTTATACTTATACTTATACTTATACTTATACTTATACTTATACTTATACTTATACTTATACTTATACTTATACTTATACTTATACTTATTACTTATACTTATACTTATACTTATACTTATACTTATACTTATACTTATACTTATACTTATACTTATTACTTATACTTAGACGTATACCTTATACTTATACTTATACTTATTACTTATACTTATACTTACTTACTTATACTTATACTTATAACTTACTTATACTTATACTTTACTTATACTTATACTTATACTTATACTTATACTTATACTTATACTTATACTTATACTTATACTTATACTTATACTTATACTTATACTTATACTTATACTTATACTTATACTTATACTTAAATTTATACGCCTAAAAAGGGTAATTTCGCGTCAAGCATTGCTTGTTAAGGTGTATTTTGTTGTTTATTTGTATTGTTGGAAATATTTTGCAGATACATAAGCACCCGCTCACTAACGTGTTCCCGCCCACTCGTGCCCCCTCACACTCCATCTGCAAAGCTGTCATAAAAATTGAGAAATGTGACTGCGATGAGTGTGCACCATTTGGATGTTGTTTTACTTAGTTGAGTTGTTGCTGCTGCGGTTGTTGTTGTTGTTCTTGTTGTTGTTGATACAGCTCGTGCACAGCGTGTCGCTTTCTATATTCACTTTTGTTGTCTACCTGTGTATGCATACCTGTGCACGCCATTTGCCTTTTTAATTGTTTAGGTCAGACCTAACAATGGCGGCTTGCCGACATTTTGTTAGTATTTTTTTTCTTATATGCTCCTGTTCGAGCACCCTTAACAGAAGGCGGTTAGTCTGAAAAATGGCCTGTCATTCACTATGTCAGCTGGCAACAGGTTTTGTTGTTGCTGTTGTTATTGTCATTTGCACAGTTCGACTTGAACGTTTGATAGAAGTGAATGCACTCTGATATATCTGACACTTAAGCTGAGAACTATCCTTGTCTAGGCCTCTCAGCTGGGTTCACTGATTTCGGCGTCCCATCATTTGTCTGCTGACGTCGCAGATGTTTTGCCCTGATGATTTTTCATTTTGAACAGCAATGAACATGGTCTGAATTTAAATTCTGTTCCCAATAACGTCGAAGGAGACGCATTGTGTGCACAAAGTCTTTGGGTTACAGACGTGCAACGACATTACCTTGTTGGGGGCATCTCTCTCTTGTGTCGGCTAGCAGCTGATAATATAAATATCATTGTTGCTTGCACATAATTAAGCAGGAAAGTCAGCAGCTTCGGCTGTTTCTGTTAAGTCTAACGAGACCCCGTAGAAAACATATTGCCAATGGCTCAACTGGCATTAATTTTATTTCCATACATATGTGTGGGTGTTTGGATTCTGGCTTAATGCGCCAGTCTGTTGACTTTCGGCTCTGACGCTAATTAAGCCTGTTTATCGGCGTTAGTTTGGTGCTTAACTTTCACAGCAGCAGACATCATCGAGGCAGGTTTTTATCAGCAGCGACGCCACATCTTGCTGGCATTAGATGGCATCATATATATATATGTACATATATATTGTATATATATATATATAGTGTGTAACTACATGCCCAGCTTTTACTCCATATCGAGATACCAATTCCCTTTCTTATTCACATTTCCATTCCCATTTCCACTTCATACGCCCAACGCTACTTTGAGTGCAATAATAAAGCGATTCTCCCAAATGCCACAAAGCCTTCAAGTTCTAGTCTAATTGAGTAAATTGTCCAGGGAAATGAAAATAGCAAAGCACATGAGTCTGTGGAATTGTCACACACATATACACGCACAGCTAAGTGGCTTGTGCTGCTGTCTGTCGTCTATTTTGTGGTCGATGCGCAAAATCTCAAACAGCTCGCAAACAAAACAAAAAATGCAATTTGAAAAAAGAAAATATTCGCACACACTCAGCCTCCATCTGTGCCTCTGTCTCTGTGTCTATCTCTATCTCTGTCTCTGCGTATGCTGTGAACTCAATTGTTTGTGGTTTGTATGGCCAGTGACATTCTATTAGCAGATAAAACTAATTACATGGAAATCTATTGCGAATGACAGCGACCACATTGCGCAATTTGCCCACCCAGCCTAAAAGTAGGCAACACTTTTAGTTTAAGAATTTTTGTGCGTTGATTTGTTTTGGCAAGCAAAGCTTTAACTTTTACCTATGGCCCGCTTTACTGGTCACTATCACACTCACACACACACACACTCTCTCTCTCAACAAACTTTATCGCATTGGGGGTCACTTGGCAATTGGGCAAATAACCCAATCATTTATCATCATGCTGTTGCACACTCTCAGCTGCCTGCAATTGCCATTCAGCTATGGTGCAGACACTTTAGCATGCTGACAGTTTTGTAACCTGTTTAACTTAACCTGTGACCGCACTTGCTGCTGCTGTTACTGATGCTCATGCCTCTAGCATCTCTCCATCTCCATACGTGTGTGCAACGGTTATACCCTGGAGTGAATTCAAATGGGTAAAGTGTGGCTAGTTGTTGAGGACAAGGCCAATGCCAGAAGCAAAAATGGCTTCAACTAAATGTTAAAATTTAACTTATTTTTCTGAAATGGTTTTAAAAGTAAAGTCTATTTAGCTTTAGTACTGTAACTAGCAACATTTAGTCGACCATTTTCTTTCAAATAGATTTATCTTCACTTATAAATAAATTTATATATCTGCTTCAGCTTGCTTTGCATTTAAATTCGGTTTATTTCTTTTCTTTTCTTAAATACATAAACAAACATATATAAAAATAAAAACAAAATTTAATTGGCTTCATGAATATTCTTTCTTTCTCTTTACTTTGTGATGAATAACAGAGATTTGTCTTGAAAATGTTAATTATTTATGTGTTTTGCAAGTGCTGAGCTCTCTATCTACCTAACAAATGTAGCCGGGACTGCACTTAAATTGCCCTTGTTTATTGTATTTGTTTTTAGAAATTTAATTTTATTAAAGATGAGTCTCAGCTCGAGCCTGCAACTTGAGCTGCCAATCAATCTGTCTAATATAGATTATAAATATATATTTTGCAGTAATAATATAACTAATATTTCTACAATTTCTTTTTTGCTACAAAACAATACGTTCCTATTCCCCACTCATATATACGTATTAATATTAATATATACTCTCACAGCTCCCTCAGCTAAACAGGCTAGCTCGAGTGCATGAATTCTTATAAACTTTTTGGCAATCAAAAGCTAAAGTCTGGATTTTACTTTGTGGTAAGCTTCAAATGTATTCGAAATTGATTTTAAATAGCATCCGCAGACTGCAGAGTATATAAACGAATTATAAAGTGTGACAAATAGATAAAAAAGCAAAATAAAAACAAAAATGAAATCTGTGCACACAAAGGAACGGTCAACTATTTCCGGTTGACTCGATTGACCTGCAAACATTTTTTATTGCATTCGTTGTTGTTGTTGTTGTCGTTGCCGTTGTTGATTATATGTAGTCAAGCCAAGGCCAAAGCTACCATAGAAAATACCATGTGCATGTATCGATTGTATTGGCTGTGGGGCAACGGTGCGTATGAATTTTGTTTTTTATTTACCTGTGAGTTGAGTTGAGTTATCTATGGAGCAGGCCATACAAATGTATTCGAAGGCACTTGGCAATATCAATTTTCCTCGTATTACCATGGCAATTAAGTTGAGTCCAAGTGAAGTGCTGGCTAAACTCAAAATCTCGGTCCGTAGTTGTTCATTGTATGAGTAGGGCTCTGAGCTTTTGTTGTCGGACATGACTACAACAAATAGTTTGGCCAAAAGTTTTTTGCGACTTTTCTGATGCCAAAAGCAGTTTGAAGAGCACACGAGTGCCTGTCTCCACGTTTGCGGCCAAGTGAGCTGCCTTAGCCTGCTTTATGCACTCTTTGAAAATGTCAATTAGAACGTGGTCTTCGTGGTTAGTTAGATGTACATGACCTGAACCGGAGCGCAATTTCCGTTTAAGCCAAATGGCACTATGATTTCGACAATCCTTACGATTGCCGAAGGAAATGCTTACAATGTTAGTAATTTGCACCGTGTGTTTAACAAGCAACAAATGATGTCTGCATGTGTCAGCCCGGCCAGGGGGAGTGGGGTCACAGTGGTTGCTTGTTTATTATTTGCCTTGCACTGATAAGAGAAGCTGTTGCCGTTGAGATGTTGCAATTGCAGTTCACTTGCTAATTAGACTAAGTGCGGCATGTTGTTGCATGATAAGCCACTGGCGCAGCAGTTGATAGGAAATGCATGTAATTGCCGTGTGTCAATAGCTTGGCTATAAAAGCGAGTCGACTTGGCGCCAACTATAACATTTCGAAACGGCTCGACTATGCTGCCAGTGAAGATTTTGGTTCTGCTCGCAGCCTTTGGCTGCCATGCTCTAGTTGAGGCGAGTAATGAGACCACGTTGTGCCCGCCGACAACCGATGATAGCCGCGATGGCGAAGATTCGTTGTGTCCCAGCTTCCAAGACCTGCGCGACATCATTGACGAGATAGCTCTAATGGAGCTCATACAGGCACACTATCAGTGCAACGCCAAGTTCCGCAAGGCCTTGTGCTACTACAATTCGTCGCGCTTCCACTTGGTAGCCCAGCAGCTGCAGCAGAGCGAAGCCTACATTTCGATGCTGGCAGATCTGCGCAATGCTGGCGTCGACACCACCGACATCGAGAGCATTGTGAACATCTTCGCCTGCCTGGAGCTGTCTTTACCGAAACTCAAAAAGAGCTGCGACTGCAAGCAATTGCGCGGTCACACGTTTGTCGGCGATCTACTGGCTAGCATGTCCCATCAGGCTGTCCACGACTACACGGCCGTCGCCCGTGCAAATCACACCAACTTTGGCCTCTTTGCGGACACCATCACCTCCTCGGCCTTCCAGGCGCGTATGCGCACTAATATGGTAAGTAATTGATCGATAACTGTTTGCTTAGCTGATAACCCTTGACTGTTCACAGCTTAAAAGCGATGCGCTGCGCCCGTTGCGCTTGCTCCGTCGCTATGGCTGGGATGTACAAGAAATACTTGGCGCTGCCATGTCCATACTCTCCTGGTGAGCTACATGGACTCGGGACAACAATTCCATACCTATATAGCTGTTGCAGTTGAATATGTAGAAAAAGGTTGAATACTTGAATAGATGAACTGTCAATCGCTCAGAAATTCTAGCAGCCAGTGCTATTGTTGTTTGTTGTGATTAAACTTTGAATATGAATTGATGGCTGGGCATGGTATATGGTTTCAGTTTGCTGTTTAGGTCTTCTTTCTGGTATGCTCAATTCATCTGCTTGATCAGCATCGATAGCTGAGTTGGTAGTGCAGTCAGACTGAAGAGATTTATTTCTGCTTGAACACTCTTCGATATGTATAATAAGCGAGTATATGTCTACCAGTATACAGAGGCACTAATGTGATCCTTATATCACATCATGTCATATCGAACTGAAGGTTTTCGTATGACCAAAGATCTAGCGTGAACTTGACAATCGACTTACAAAGATTCAGCACGAGCTCATAAACACTTAATAATATATATTCAGATTTATTATTATAATTTCACGTCTTTCATATTTGTTTGCCTTCTCATCTTATTTTTTCCTTGGCATAGGAGGTCGACAATGTTCATAAATTAATCTTAACATATGAGTGTATTTAAATTTGATGCGATAAGTAGCCTGGAGCTAAGGGATTAGTTATATGACAGACAAACAGCTGAGCTCTATTTGAAAATTCTATCATCATGCTATAGACAACTGTCTATGGAACTACTCTTTCCAGTTATAACAATAGAAAAATTCTTGGAAACAGAGTAAAAACAAAGGCCGTCTACTTTTGTTTTCTCAGTATTTACTTCAATGGCAGCTCAGATGAATGTATTTAACAGGAATGGCAATAGATATATTGATAGAAACTCAGTTGATTTCGATATGTAAATTAAGTTTAAGCTGCAGCTGCTCATTTTCTGATCAATAGTTGATGTTTTGTTTAACTTTACATTTACTTCAAAGACAAATTACAATTTCAATTTAAATTGTTATTGTTATGTTTATGGTCTTACTTGAGCAGGTCATCAAAAGGTATTGAATCATTCTCTTAAGCAACTCGTCGCCCTTCAATAGGTGTGTAAGGGACATGTAATTAAATCGGAATCGAAAATAAAGGATGCATTATTTCGTACGGCGTGCATATCGCTTGGCACGGCGCCCAGTTGGCTCGCCGGACTCGCATAATTTCCATTTAGCTCGGCCACTTGGCTCGCTCGACAAACAAATTAACGCTCGTTACACTTTCATTGCATGCGCTCAATTTATGGCCCAAATGGACGGCAGACGCCAGTTGCTAGTGTCCCCCAATGCCAGCTGTCGTGTTGCCAACAAACAGCTACGAGCGGGCAACGAAAACAACGACAATTTAATACTCTGGCAGGCATATGTTTATAAAAGTTTTATTTTCCAGCCATTACAAGTGAGAGCAAGTCAGGCTGAAGACTGAATACCCTATGCATAGGCTTTTATATTAAAACTTTGCTTAAACTCAGATAGACCTCAGACCCATGGCGGCTATAGTTCGTTATATAGTTAACGACTAAATTGCAATACCTTCTGTTAGAGTAGAAGAACAGCTGTAACAATTGCAGAAGCTTGTTCAAGCTGGTCCTTGGCTTACGCCTCTACCGCGTCCTTCAGAGCCACATAACGCATGCAGTTCATGCAGTTTTCACATCGCTACACGCGCCTTCTCATGGCAATTGATTTATGTGTGAGACGTGACTTCATTTTTGAGGCAGTTGGGTGCGTGGGCGTTGCAGCAGCAGCACCTGTTGTGTCGTCGCCGCTGTGCTTATTAAATTAACAAAGTAACGATCTGTTTCGCTATCAGCGCGCGCGCGTGTACCTGATTTGTCTCGTGTGCGTGTTAGCCAAATTCAAAGCCATTATGCGTTATAGCTGTATAAACAAACGGCACGCCCACAGCAGCAACAGCGGAGGCAGTAAGTCGCGTACGTGCGTGGCCAAAAATACACACACACACCCAGCGAGCTGTTGTGTGTGGGAGTGTGTGTTGGGCACTCTCTCGTGTGTCAATCAAGTTAAATGTTAATGAATTAGTCGGCAGCGGCATGGGGACCCGCTGACAGGACAGCGCCGCCAGGACTGACAAGTTGTTTTGGTTTCCATGTTCTCAGCGCTCTTGTGGTTGGCGCTTATTCTTCTCCTTCTTTTTCTTCTCCTTCTAGTGTTTGTGCCCGTCGAAGTGATCGACCTGTCAGCGCCCAAAAGCGAAATAAATCGTTGCATACTTACGTGCGCAAACAATTTTCCTTCTTCAAACACCCTGTAACACAAAGACAACTTGTATAACAGCTATAATGTCTGCATAGAGATGGGCTCTAAATTTAATTTACATTCTATGGGTATATTCAAACATATATATATATGGGCTTTCATTGACTTCAAACTAGTTCGTAACCTTCTCAGTTTTGTAGTAACTATTCCTAAGCAGTCGAACATCCACGTCATTCACTCTCTACAGGGCAACTATTTAGTCCTGACCACTTGAATTCTTGTTAGAATTTTTTCTTGCTTCGCTTTCATTTCCAGTTTCACTTTCACTTTTGCTTTCATTTGATTTTGCACGTTGTTTTGCCGGGCAATACGTGTCATTGAATTCATTATGCTGTCAGCATGTTAGTCGCTCGCCGCATTGCTGGGCGCACCTGGCAGAGGGGGCGTGGCTGGGCACGGCTGCTGCTGCTACGTGCAGCAGATTAAAAATATGCATTGCGAAATTAATTAATTAACGCAGCGCTTGTTAGCTGCCATTTAAGCTGACTCTCCTTTCATTGTTGGCATTTTCGCCATATTTCTACCGAATTCTTATAAATTAATTTTCTCTGCGCTTACGACTGTCCGAATTAAATACAAATATGTATAAATTAAATGTGTTTTCATTTGTTTACATAACTCAGCGATAAACATCGTTGTCCGAAATTGATTTTCAATTAATTAGTCCAATTAAGTTTAATGGTTACTTTAACATTCAATTCAATAATCAAGTGTTTGCATAAATATTAAATATTGCATTTACTGCCATTGTCCATAGTTAACCAACCGCATTTCCGCAGGACGTCGCCAGGAAGGATTATCAAGCAAAATATTTTACTGCACACAAAATGAAGACGAGACCAGTCGAGACTACGAGGCTCACCTCTTTTGGCTACGTGCTGTATTCCCAATGGACTGGAATTTAGTTTTCTTTCTACTACTATTTTAACATTATTTATTTGATTGCTACTACTTTTTTAGCTAAAGCTATTACTACTACTACTACTACTTCTTTTTTAGCTAAGGCTACTACTACTACTTCTAATTTTTAAGCTAAACCTACTACTATTTTAACTACTACTAACTTTATCTTCTACTACTATTTTAGCTACTACTACTACTATTTTATCTACTACTACTATTTCTACTATAACTATCTACTATCACTACTACTATTACTATTACTACTACTAGTACTACTGCTACTGCCACTCCTACTGTTCGCTTTGCCTTCACCCATCAATATTTGCTAAAATTAAATTCCCAATTGAATTGTGGGAATTTCACAAATGCTGCAGAGCTTGCCAGCATCGTGGCTTGCACTTCACTTAAAGCACCCCATTCAGCAGTTGAGTTTATTGTCAATCAGTTTGAGCACGCGAATTACCGTGTAGCCGCCATGCATGTAGAATTGTCACATAATGTACCGGAAATATGCTGGCAGTGTCCAAAACAACGCCAGCAACAAACAATGGCAAAGCTCCGCAGACCGTAATTACCCGTCCGATGGTTGATTATTTCAGATCGCTGCTCACAAGCGCCTCGTTCGTGCGCGCTGAAAGTGGATGTCCGGCATAGGTATGACCAGGTGACCAGCTAGACAACGTTGTCTCTAAATGTCTCTAAGCCTCTCTCTCTCTATCACTCTCTAAATTGCTAACATTTTGAAGATAATAATAATACTTTGAAGATGAAGATAGGGAAAAAGAGATGAGCTGTAAGACAAAGATATTGAATATGATCAAATAAAGTAAAATATTAATAATATTCTGGTTATATCTCAATATATTATCATAGTTCAGAGCTCACAAAATATGTTATATAATCCATATACAAAGTATTTCCAAATCGAAAATGGCTTAACTCCGACAACTTGAGTTGAAGTTGCCTCCATGAACTTTAATGCAAGCATTTCACCGCAATTTTTCGTTGGGCATGCATCTGTGGGGGAATTGCAACAATTTGTTGGCTTGATTTGTTCTAAAATTGCATTACGATAACGATCTGGGGGTCCTGCTACGATTGCAATGGCTGCTACAATTCTGTGGCTGGCAATGCATGGCATGGGCCAGTTCAAATGGCTGTCGCTGTGGCTGTGCCAAATGCGATTTGAGGCCCGCATTTGAGGCAAGTGGCAGGCAAGGCAAGGCGAGTGGAAGGCATTCCCAAATGCTCTACAGTTGTTCAATTTCCTTACATATTTTGCAATAAATTGAGTTTGTCAGCGTTCAAATTTGCAACTTTTTGGGACAAAAAGAAAACATTTTCCGAACTGACATTTCACATAAATTGTGCAATTTATTTAAATTCAATTAGAATTAAAACAATTTCAATCAATTGTTGTGCAATTTATGTGCCAGCGAGGCTAGCATAAGGACAGGGAAATGTATCTCTTTGTGGGCAGTGTCTAACAGCTGAAGAATATATTTATATTTTTTATTTCAAATAAAAAGTTAAAAATGTTGTAACTGTTAAGTTAATCCATAATACACAGAACTACCACTTTCAGGGAATTCCAAGTATAATTACCATTTTCATGAAAGTGAATAAAAAAGCTTTTAGTATTTGTGAAAATACACAAGTTTTAACTGAATTCCCACTAACAAAATCGTTAAATTTAACGGGAAATGCGGAATTAAAAGTTCTGTTTATATTTATTAAAGTATAAGTACTTAATTTATTTATTTGTGATTTTTAAAAAGTAGATAAAACTAAAATATAAATGTAAAAAATATTTTACTTACATTTTAGTTCATATATGTTAAAGAAAAACCACAAAGAACAAAGAATCTTGTTAGTAAAAATGCTGAACGCGCTTGCTTCTTCAAGTTCTTCAAG